GGAGTGCTAGGATTATAGGTGTGAGCCATAGTGCCCAAAGTAAGTGATTTCAAAAGTCCTGAAAAAGGAAAAAGACTGACTATATTCTAACAGTGGGACCTATGCACTTGAGCTAACCGTGGATTCTAAGCCCCAGTAAATCCAATGTTTTCCTTTTTTCTTTTTTTTTTTGAGACAGAGCCTCAAGCTGTTACCCTCGGCAGAGTACCCTGGCATCACAGCTCACAGCCACCTCCAACTCCTGGGCTCAAGCCATTCTTCTGCCTCTGCCTCCCAAGTAGCTGGGACTACAGGCACCCGCCACAATGCCCAGCCATTCTTTTTTGGTTGCAGCCATCATTGTTGTTTGGCAGGCCTGGGCTGGATTCGAACCGGCCAGCTCAGGTGTATATGGCTGGCACCTTAGCCGCTTGAGCCACAAGCACCGAGCCTTTTTTTTTTTTTCTTGAGACAGAGCCTCACTTTGTTCCCCCTGGTAGAGTGCCATGGTGTCACAGCTCACACCAACCTCAAACTCTTGAGCTTAAGTGATTCTCTTGCCTCAGCCTCCCAAGTAGCCCAACGCCCAGCTATTTTTGTTGTTGTTGTTGTTGCAGTTGTCATTGTTGTTTAGCTTGCCTGGGCCAGGTTTGAACCCATCAACCTGGAGGTATGTGGCCAGTGCCCTACCCACTGAGCTATAGGCGCCGCCCAAGACCAGTGTTTTTCATTTAACTATTTCATGTAAAATGTTTTCACTTAAAGCTAATAAGCAAATTAATCATCTGATGACATTTAAAACTTCTCCAAGTATCATCTCACTTAAGAGACCAAACAGAAGGGTCGCAAGTAAGACCCAACTTATTAAGGGCAGAAACCACATCTGTCTCATGCTGATATGTCCATACCCCCTACTCCAGGGACTCATGTATGGTAAAGACTAAAATTATTTCTTTCTGAATGAATGAAAGAATATTTTTACACTGCCATATAAAGGCATTCACTTGTATGTTCATTTACATTACTTAGGCTTATGAAATTGGTCTGTTAAGAATTTTTTTTTTTGAGATAGAGTTTCATGTCATCCTCGGTAGAGTGCTGTGGCATCAACAGCTCACAGCAACCTCAAACTCTTGGACTTAAGCAATTCTCTTGCTTCAGCCTCCCAAGTAACTGGGACTACAGGCACCTGCCACAACACCTGGATATTTTTTGGTTGTAGTTGTCACTGATGTTTGGTAGGCCGGGGCTAGATTCAAACCTGCCACCTATGGTATATGTGGCTGGTGCCCTAGTCGGTTGAATTACAGGCGCCGATCCAGGTTTGTTAAGAATTTTTAGTTAACTTCCTTTATCTTTAAGAGCAGTTCTATTTATATCAAATGAGCAAACAATAGCAAAAACACTTACAATTTCAAACATAGCGATTTTGTACAGTTACAGGGCTTTCTGGGTCGACTGGCAGACTCTGATGGGATTATACTGTACAGATACAAAATAAACATATATATTTTAATCAATTAGCAGTAACTATTTTTTTTTTTTTTTTAGACAGAGCCTCAAGCTGTCCCCCTAGGTAGAGGGCTGTGGCATCACAGCTCACAGCAACCTCTAACTCCTGGGCTCAAGCGAGTTTCCTCCTCAGCCTCTCAAGTAGCTGGGACCACAGGTGCCCGCCACAACACCTGGCTATTTTTTGGTTGCAGCCATCATTGTTGTTTTGGTGGGCCCGGGCTGGATTCGAACCCGCCACCTTAGGTGTATATAGCTGGTGCCTTAGCCACATGAGCCACAGGCGCCAAGCCAGCAGTAACTATTTAAAATTAGAACTCTCCAACCTATAAATTCCTCTGAAAATAAAGCTTTAACAAATGTATCCATCCTTAATAAAATTTTGCTTTGTTGTTTTATTTATATTAAGTTCAAAGACAAGTTGTAACAAGAAAGGTAAAGAGCCAAAGTATGAAATAATTTTTTTTAAAAAGTTATCAATAGCTACTAAAGAACACTCCATAAATACTCTTCCTTCTAAGCAAACCAAAGCTGAAATTTCCTCAAAACTCTTGGGATTCAACTGTAAAAGGCAGTGAGGAGAAAGGGATGTGTGCATGTGGACTGTTTCCAGGTAATTAATTAAGTGCTGCTTCTGAGCTGCTCTGAGATTGCAAAGACAACAATCAGTAGATAAACAACAACAAAAGAACACCTAACATAACAATTTAAAAACAGTGAACATCATTTAAAAAACATTCAGAAGGAAAGAGACTAACAAGCAAATATGGCAAAATTGGTGAATCTGAGTAAATATTTGGGAGCTCTTTGACTATTTCTGTAACTTTTCTATTTGAAATATTTCAAAATAAAAAGTACTTTAGAGGCATGCACATATGGTTTTAATGAGAAAAAAATTAAATAGAATGTATTTTGTATTTTGGAATATATATATTTAATGGAATACATAATTTAAGTTAAGCTGATCCAACAAACTTAATTTACATATTTTCAAAATACTCACCCGTTGAATGGAAGCCTTGCCTGGGTCTGGATACCAGATGTTCCAGTGAAGTTAGAGTTGCTTGCTATAGACACATATGAAGACTGCTGTAGCTACATGTAAGGAAAGGTTATTTTAGATCATATTTGCAAAAATGGATAATACTCTAAAATATGATGATCAGTAAGAAACACAAATTCATATACTAAAACAAGAAAAACATAGGCTCGGCGCCTATAGCTCAACCGGCTAAGGCGCCAGCCACGTACACCTAAGGTGGCGGGTTCGAATCCCCAGCCCGGACCCGCCAAAAACAACAATGACGGCTGCAACCAAAAAAAATAGCCGGGCGTTGTGGCGGGCGCCTGTAGTCCCAGCTACTTGGGAGGCGGAGGCAGGAGACTCGCTTGAGCCCAGGAGTTGGAGGTTGCTGTGAGCTGTAATGCCACGGTACTCTGCCCAGGGGGACAGCTTGAGGCTCTGTCTTAAAAAAAAAAAAAAAAAAGAAAAGAAAAACATAACAGAGAATTTCATACCAACAGCTACTTCATGGAGCTCTTTTAAAAACCCAAACCAATACTACAAGTGAAAATAATGTGACCATTTTACGTACTATATAAAATAAATATAAAGAAATTCCCAGAGAAGTAGTATGTTGGAATTATAGGAAATTCTAAGTGAATATCCTGAATATCTCAAAAAAAAACAAAGTTTCTATGTTATGCTGATTTCTAAATGTAAGAAATGTTAATGATAAAAATACTGAACACTAATTTTTTTATTTTTTATTTTTTTGAGGCAGAGTCTTACTTTATCGACCTGGGGAGAGGGCCATGGTATCATAGCTCACAGCAACCTCAAGCTCTTGAACTCAAGAGATCCTCTTGCCTCAGTGTCCTGAGTAGCTGAGACTAGAGGTGCCCACCACAACACCCAGCTAGTTTTTCTATTTTTAGAAACAGAGTCTTGCTTTTGCTCAGGGTGGTCTCGAACTCCTGAGCTCAAGCAATTGAGCCCTAGCCTCCCTGTATGCTAGGATTACAGGTGTGAGACACCCTCTCTAGCCATGAACACAATTTTTTTTATCATTAGCCATATAACATACCCCAAAGTATATTTTATTTAAAGTATGTGTGTAAGTTTTAGTTTCCCTCTCAGATTATATCTAAGTTGATAAATTCAACAGCTTAGAACACAGGGCTAATCTGTTTGATCGTAACATGACAAAAGAAACTTCTGTATGTATCTGCTCTGTGGAAGTAGCAGTTCTAACCCAAGCCAGCCAGCTGGATAGTATATGGCTTTCATTCTAAAGACCAGATGAGAGTGGACAGATTACAAAAGATCTGTCACCTGGAACTCGATTTCACAGTTTATTGTCCAAGCATAAGTCTGTGGCATCATATTCATGTGTGAGGAAGAGTTTTATTATCGTTGTACTATTTTCTAAATTCATTTGGACTATACTGATTTTAACTTCAACTTACTTTCTCTGGTATTTCCATAGGCTTGCCCTCTCACCAAGCTGCTCTCAGCTCCAAATTGTCTGACTTGCATATCTGCCTTGTGTTGTATATTTCTAAATGCTAAAGATACACAGAAATAAACTCAAAAGTTTTTGATAATATTTCAAAATTCTGGAGAGAGCCGTTTTAATACTACGTTAGATGTTTTTGAGTATTTCAGAATGTGATACCACTGCACATATTAGAGACAATTTCCACTTCTGGAAGTCAATGACTTCATTTTTTTGACATACCTGAGTAACATACTGAGCTGGAAGCACTGCATAGCCCACATTCCCCGTTCCCGGGGCTGGCGCCAGGACAGTGCCTGGTGGCAGGTTGGTGAGATTGGGCTGAATCTGCGGCAGTGGTGTGGCAGGCATGATAAGCCGTTGCTGTGGCTGGCTAGTAGTTACGATCTGTGAAGTTGGGTTGATTGGTTTGGGAACAACCTAAAAATAAAGGACAAATATTAATGATCACAAAAATAAATTTTATAGCTACTCAATTCAAGACAAATCTCTTGTACCTAAATCTGAACTTTCAATTTAAAAAGTAAACTGTTGGCTAGGCAAGGTGGCTCTCACTTGTAATCCTAGCACTCTGGGAGGCCGAGGCAGGAGGATAAACTGAGCAAAAAGCAAGACCCTGTCTCTATTGAAAATAGAAAAACTAGCCAGATGTTGGCTCGGTGCCTGTTGCTCAAGCAGCTAGGGAGCCAGACACACGCACTAGGACTGGTGGGTTCAAACTCTACCCAGGCCTGCCAAACCACAATGACAACTACAATGTTTTTATGTAGCTGGGTGTTGTGGCAGGTGCCTATAGTCCTAGTTACTTAGGAGGCTGAGGCGAGGGAATCACTTAAGCCCAAGAGTTTGAGGTTGCTGTGATGTGTAACACTATGGCACTCTACCAAGGATGACGTAATGAGACTCTATCTCAAAACAAAACAAAACAAAAAACCCCAAACTACCCAGGTGTCCTGGCGGGCACCTGTAGTCCTAGCTACTTGGGAGGCTGAGGCAAGAGGATCACTTGAGCCCAAGAGTGTGAGGTTTCTGTGAGCTATGATGTTACGGCACTCTACCCAAGGTGACAGAGTGAGACTGTCTCAAAATAAATAAATAAATTAATTAATTAAATTGCCTATTTGGGAAAAGCTGAGAAGTTATGGTTACTCACTTGTTTGACAGCCTGAGCTGAGACAATTGGAACTGACATCCGCACTGGGGTTGTATTAACAACCACTGGCTTTGCTTTTTAAAAAAGGAAAAAACAAATATGAGCAATTTATTTACAGAAACTAGCATTTCAAACACCTAAGAGTACTCAGCTCTCCCAAGTTATCCTCAGGAAAGAACTTAAAGAATCCCATTTGTTTCCTATTTTTTAAGCGACCTTTATTCAGGACAGCTACCTTTCAAAATTACTTACCTCATCGACCAGAGAACTTATATCTAAAATAGCTATAAAGGGATTTGTTCTGTGAAGTTTGGATTCAGTTTAGAGGCCCTACTTGGGCATCTGGAGGGCCACAGGTGACCTTGAGGCCATAAGTTCTCCACCCCAGCCTATCTACTTTATAAAAGAATATTTGTAGGTTCAAGACATTTTATTGAAAATATTTCACGAAGGCTTGGGAGCAGTAGCTTATCCCTGTAATCCTAACACTCTGGGAGGCTGTGGCAGGGGGATTGCTTGAACTCACAGGTTGGAGACCAGCCTGAGCAAAAGCAAGACCCTGTCTCTACCAAATATAGAAAAAGTTAGGCAAAGAGGATCTATTGAGCCCAAGAGTTGGAGGCTGCTGTGAGCTACAATACCGTGGCACTCTACCCAGGGCAATGGCTTGTGACTCTGTCTCAAAAAAAAAAAAAGAAAGAAAGAAAGAAAGAAAGAAAAAGAAAATACTTCATGGGGCCGGACGAGGTGGCTCACACCTGTAATCCTAGCACTCTGGGAGCCCAAGGGGAGTGGATTGCCTGAGATCATAGGTTCAAGACCAGCCTGAGCCAGAGCAACACCCATCTCTAAAAATACCTGGGCATTGTGGCGGGCACCTGTAGTCCCAGATACTTGGGAGGCTGTGGCAAGAGAATCGCTTGAGCCCAAGAGTTTGAGGTTGCTGTGAGCTATGATGCCACAGCACTCTACCCAGGGCACAGCTTAAGATTCTGTCTCAAAACAAAACAAAACAAAAAAACAGAGAATTTTATGGTATATATGAATTACGTCCCAACAAGGTTGTTACAAAAAAAAGAGTATATGACCACAAAATAAAGGAGCCAATCTGATACCCAACGTAAAGTTATCCCGTTTATACCCAACCATTAGAAAAGATATGATAACCATTGTAGACTGGTCTGAGCAATATTAGAAGGAATTAAAAGGTGAGCCTGAATTTATGCTTGGAACATAGAGAGTGGACTCCCTCAACCACCTGCTCCTTGGAGCGGAGATGATGGTCCCCCATTCCGGAAGCATACAAAGCAGAAGCCAACCACCAGTGGAATATAAGAACTTCCTGGTGGTCCTGAGAAGTAAAAGGAAGGGGTGTGATCTCCCTCAGTCACAATAAATGGAAAAATGTCCCTCCTCCCTCTCCCCCGACATGCACAAATGTGTGTACACTTGTAAACCCCACCCCCACCCCGGAAACTACCCAAGTGTAGGAACTCAAGTTTGCGTAGGTTTGGCATCTGCATGCTGAGTTTTGACTGAGGTCTAGGGAATGAGGAAAATGTAAAATGAAGTGGTCTTAGAAGAGAGTACCATAAAATCTCTAGGGAAAGGGATGGCATATAACTAAGGCACAGGTCTGTTTCTCTTCCTCCTTACCTTAGCACACAGTGCTAACTACTATTGCAGTTCTCATAGATGCTGCCATACTCTTTTATTTTTTAGTCTTTAGAAGGAACTCTGAACAATCCTTTAGAATAGCCTCCTTCCAAACTTCAGAAACCATACCTGCAAGTGTTTGAGGCTTTTTACTTTCTTGAATTGATTTCCTCTTACCAAGATGGTATATTCTGAAAAGGTTAACTATGGTACTCCCCTGGGTCCTTCTACTATGCTGCCTACCATTAAGACCTTAATTAACGTGGTGGAGCCTTAGAACATTGGTTCTTGTACCACTTTTGGAAGAAAATGTTCAAGAGGAGCCCAATTTCCCTTGGCATTTAAGTATATCTCTCGTAAGGAATTAGGGCTCAGGCCCGTGGGTCAGTGGTTGGGGCGCTGGCCACATACAGCAGGGCTGGCAGTTCGAACCCGGCCCAGGCCAGCTAAACAACAGTGACAACTACAACCAAAAAATAGCCAGGCATTGTAGTGGGCACCTATAGTCCCAGCTACTTGGTAGGCTGAGGCAAGAGAATGGCTGAAGCCCAAGAGTTTGAGGTTGCTGTGAACTGTGACACCACAGCACTCTACCAAGGGCAACACAGTGAGACTCTGTCTCAAAAAAAAAGAAAGAAAGAAATTAGGCCCTTAAGATAGATTAATACATTTGATAAACTAGAGCAAATATTTAGTGTATCTCTAATAAAAATTATAAATTTAACTCATTATTCCTGTGAAATTATATTATATATATCTAGATCTCTTATGGTATAAGAGAGAAAGACAAAAAGAGAAAAATATAAATGGATAAAAGGGGAACTGCCTGGGTGGGAAGTGTGTGGGTGGGAGGAGGATACTGAGACAGTGAGGTGAAGGAGGCTAGAGGGGAAAATGGAAAGGCCAAGGTGAAGGTAAACAGCAAAAGAAGGAAGCAGCAAGGAAGCAGAAGTGAGATGAGGGGCTGCCAGGAAAGAAAGAAGAAAGGAGAAGCAGAGACAGGCAGGAAGACAGACAGAAAGCTAGAAAGAAGGCACCAGTCCACTCTGCATTGGGAAGGTCCCTTTCCTCCCTCCGCCCCTGTGTGCTCAGCTCCCTCTTCCTTACACTCAGTCTTGCTAATGAGTAAATTAATGTTAACATTCATTAGGATTAATCCATTAAACGGATTCTCAGAATACTATACACACAGAAACACAAATAAAGGGACTACAACCCATATCTCTAATAACTGCCTTATACTGTGAAACCTAAGTAGACTGGACTTGGAGCATTTCTATCAGTATCCTGCTAACTTTAAGTACTGAGAAAATATAAAATTTGATTCCCTTAGTCAACGATATGCAAGTTTCATTTGTTTTCTTATTAAGAATATTAGGATAATGATTTTCTTCTAAAATCAGTTTACAGAGGAATTAGAAAATATAATTACTGGATGTGCCTAAAGTGATATGAAAACATACCAGAATACTGGTCACTCCATTTCCTCCTTTCAGTAATTTGAAAAAGAAGTAGTTTTTTCCTTCTACAGTGACCTAGCCATCAGCAATAAATAGATCTAAACCTCTGATCTCTTCATAAAAAGGAAGAGTAACCAACTGGTCTTTAATTCTTCTATTTACTTCCCATGAACAATACATCATAGGTTTGCTATCAACTGCTTTTTTTTTTGAGACAGAGCCTCAAGCTGTCCCCCTGGGTAGAGTGCCATGGCATCACAGCTCACAGCAACCTCCAACTCCTGGGCTCAAGCGAGTCTCCTGCCTCCGCCTCCCAAGTAGCTGGGACCACAGGCGCCCGCCACAACGCCCGGCCATTTTTTGGTTGCAGCCATCATTGTTGTTTGGCGGGCCTGGGCTGGGGATTTGAACCCGCCACCTTCAGTGTATGTGGCTGGCGCCTTAGCCGCTTGAGCCACAGGCACCGAACCCTATCAACTGCTTTTTGACAGAAGATAAAGCAGTCTTCTAAGGAACAACTTAAACCTACAAAATACCATGATCCTTTCATGCCATTCAATTTTTTCAAGTAGATAAGTATGGAGAAATTGTTAGATACGTGCCTGTGTATATGTACCAGGGAGTAGGAGGGTTAAACACAAACACAGAAAATAGAGAGGCGACAACACATAGGAACACCCTCCAGAAAAAATATATGTGAACAAAACACAACAGTTTAATTTTTAGCAATTATAGATTCAAAATAAGTAAAAGCTGAAAATTATATGAAGTTCTTACTTTTCATTTATTTGTCATTTCGACCAACCCAAACCCTATCAAGGAGATTAATAATTTAGAAAACAAATAATTTGGTTACCTTTAAATCTGTCACACTGGTATAAAAGGTAGGTTTTTAAAGCAGCAAAAAGGCTAACAAATGAACGAGCTATTATTACTGGTATTATACTAACAGTACACAGTGTACCAACTTCAAACAGAAGGAATACTATAGTTATATAAAACTCTGATTCTATTTCTTTGCCTCCTGTAACAGCCACTGATTCAAACTCTCAGCTGAAATGCCACACTTAATCAGGACTTTAACAAGAAAAGGACCAATGTTCTTGAATAATGTTAAAACAATTAATTACTACTTAAAAAAAAATGGTTACTAACCTTGCTGAAGAGGCTGAGTGTTCGTACTGGGATTCTGACTGACTGGCTGAGTTGAGCTACTGGCTGTTGTGGCAGTAACAAGACGAACATAATGAAACTTGCTTCCAGGCACTTGAATCTGCTGGACATTGGGAGCAGTTGCCAGAGGAATGATTGTTTTAAACTGTGATGTGCTCACTCCTCCAACAGTGATGGTCTGCACAGTTGACTTCACTGCCTATTAAACAATACAATATGGCTATCATTAATCTGGGATTTAACTTTCCAACCCCTTGTAATTTATGACAATCTCTCAAGTAATAAAATATTTTCCTGTATTTCATCAAAAGCTGTTGAAAGGAACAACCTGTTCAAAGAGAAATGAAAAGAACAGTAATGAATACAGGAATAAAACCAAAATTAATGAGTTCTACCTTTCTTCTCTAGTAGATAACATCCTTGGTGGTCCCGATCATATGACTTGCTATGAAGAAATCATTACTTACTTTATACGAACTTACACAGTTTTTTAATACCAGGTAAATATTACAAGAAAAGGGTGATTTTAAAACTTCCAGAATTGGCTTGGCATCCATAACTCAGTGGTTAGGGCACTGGCCATATACACGGGGGCTGGCAAGTTTGAACCCGCCCTGGGCCTGCTAAACAACAATGATGACAATTGCAACAAAAAAATAGCTGGGCATTGTGGTGGGCGCCTGTAGTCCCAGCTACTTGGAAGGCTGAGGCAAGGCTGAGACTCGAGCCCAAGAGTCTGAGGTTGCTGTGAGCTGTGACGCCACAGTGAGACTCTGTCTCAAAAAAAAAAAAAAAAACAACAACTCCCAGAATTAAGTCCCACATTCAATACAGAGAAAAAAGGATACAGATGGTTGGTGTTATTGCTACCCAACAAATTAACTATGACAAATTTTACATTCCCATATCTACAGGAGGAAGAAACTAAAAAGAAAAGCCCATCTTATACCTCTGTCAAGTCCAGTGATTTCTAAACAGCTTATAGGCCGGGTATGGTGGCATTGTGCTGGGCACCTATAGTCTCAGCTACTTGGGAGGCTGAGGCAAGAGAATCGCTTAAGCCCAAGAGTTTGAGGTTGCTGTGAACTGTGATGCCATGGCCCTCTACCAAGGGCTACAAAGTGAGACTCTGTCTCAAAAAATAAACAAACAAACAGCTTATAATATTCCCTAGGAACAAAAATACCTACTAGCATATGGGCAGGAGGCCAAATTCAGTCCCAAAGTACCCCAGTTTTATTTGTCTGGGGAACTCATTTGGAGTGAATCAGGTCTGAGTCAATATAACAATTTTAATTAATTAAAATGATTTAATCATTTAAAATTGAGGATTAACACTAATCCTCTCCCTCAGTCTGAAAGAAAGCAAGAGGACTTCCCTAAAGCTAAGATGGAACATTGCAGGAGCGCAGAACAGACTAGTCTTCTCACGTGTCACTGGCTGATGTTTAACCAACACATAACACACTGCTGGACAAAGTTCAAACGAGTCTCCAATAGTTATATAGTATTATTTTTATAAATAAAGAATTACACCCCTGCCTAGACTGTAAAAGCTCTTATGCTAAAAGACAACTGATATATGATAGAAGAAACCTATATCCATTATGTGGATAATTACTTCTGAAATAGGAATTTTGAAAACTTGGAACATTTTCATAAAAGACCAAGGGAAAGAAAAAAGAATGCCATTTGTATTGGAAACTGCAGTCAATGGAAATTACTTCAGCATAAAATAATTCACATATTACCATTAGGAGATCATGAAAGAGCAGATTGAAAATAAAGATAAGAAATAGCACCATTCCATAAACATTTAACTGTCTATATAACTAAAGTTTATACCTTTAAGCACATTTTTCTTATTTTGGCATTTTAAAGACATTGTCCATTTCAGCATACCTCTTCCTGTTTCTTTTTTAAAAATTACACTTTTTGTGTTTATTTAAGGTATACAATATGGTGTTATGACATACACATTGATAGTAAAAGGTTTACTATTAATATAATAAGGAAAATTAACATAGCTATCCATCATCTTCTATAATTGCCCTTTTTTGTGGCAAGATCTACACGTTTAGCAAAAATGCCAAATACAGTACCATTTTATTACCTATAGTCCTCGTGTTGTATATGAAATCTCTATCCTTGTTTATCTTACTTATCCATTACTTTATGTCCTCCAACCTACATCTCCTCCCTTCTTCTGCCTCCAATCCTTCCCCATAATCACTGTTTTATTCTCTCTGTATATTTAACTATTTTTTTTTGAGATTCTACAGGTAAGTGTTATCGTGTAATATTTTTCTTTCTGGGTCTGGCTTATATCACTTAGCATAATGCCACCAGGTGCATTCATGTTATAGCAAATGGCAAGATTTTCTTTTTAAGGCTGAACAATATCCTATTGTATATATAACATTTCTTTTTCTCTTTTTTTTTTTGTAGTTATTATTGTCGTTTGGCAGGCTGGGCCAGTTCCGAACCCACCCACTCTGGTGTTTGTGGCTGGTGCCCTAGCCACTGAGCTACAGGTGCCAAGCCTGTATATATGACATTTCATCACAGATTGTTTATCTGTTCACCCACTGTGGACAGTTAGGTTGTTTCCATATCTTGGCTCTTGTGAATTATGCTGCAATAAACATGAGAGAGCAAATACCTTCACAAGGTAGAGGACAGAGATCTTCACAAGGTGTCAATTTCATTTTCTTTGGGTTGAGTCCCAGAAGGAGGTTTACTGGGTATTTCTATTTTTAATTTCTTTAGAAACCCCCATAGATTCTTCATAATGGCTGTACCAACCTACATTCTCACCTACAGTGTACCAGGGATCCTTTTTCTCAACACTCTTGCCAGTATTTGCTATCTTCTTACTTTTTAATAACAGCATCCTAATGGGTATGAGGTTATTTCATAGCAGTTTTGATGTGTGTTTCCCTGATGATTAATAATGTTAAGCACCTTTTCATTTGTCTGTTGGCCACTTTTATCTTATCTTTGGAGAAATGTCTATTCAGGCCCTTTGCCTATTTTTTAACCAGGTTATTTGTTTCTCTGCTATTGAGTTGTAAGAATTCTTTATAAATTTAGGTATTAATCTCTTATTAGATATATGGTTTAAAAATAGTTCTTCCCAATTCTTAGGCCATTCATTTTGTATTTCAATTGCCATACAGAAGTTTTTCACTTTGACGCAATCCCATCTCTTTCTGTTTGCTTTTGTAGCCTGAGCTTTTGGTGTGGTATCCAAAAATTCATTGCCAACGCCAATATCTGGGAGCTTTCCTCCTAGGTCCTCTTCTAAGAGTTTCATAATTTCAAGTCTTCCATTTAGGTCTTTTATTCATTTTTGTTTATGGTGTAAGGATCTAATTTAATTCTTCAGCATGTGGAAATCCAGGTTTCCCTCCATTTATTAAACTGACTCTTATTTCCCCATTGTGTCCTCTTGGTGTCCTTGTCAAAATTTAGTTGACCTTATTTGTGTTTGGATTTATCTCTGGGGTGTCCGTTCTGTTCCACTGGTCTATGTGTCTGTTTTTATGCCAATATTATACTGTTTTGACTACTATAGTTTTGTAATATAATTTTAAATCAGCAATTATGATGCCTCCAACTTTTTCTTTCTCAAAATGGTTTTGACTATTTGGGGTCTTTTGTGGTTCCATTTGAATTTTTTTTTGGTAGAGACAAAGTCTCGCTTTATCACCCTTGGTAGAGTGTCGTGGCATCACACAGCTCACAGCAACCTCCAACTCCTGGGCTTATGGTGATTCTCCTGCCTCAGCCTCCCGAGTAGCTGGGACTACAGGCACCTACCACAACGCCCAGCTATTTTTCTTTGTTGCAATTTGGCCAGGGTTGGGCTTGAACCTGCCACACTTGGTATATGGGGCCGGCACCCAACCCACTGAGCCACAGGTACCACCCTCCATTTGAATTTTAAGATTGTTTTTTCTATTTCTTTGAAAAATGTCATTGGGACTTTGATTGCATTGAATCTGTATAGTGCTTGGGTAGTATAAACATTTTAACATTATTAATTCTTCTAACCCATGAGCACAGGATATCTTTCCATTTATTTGTGTCTTCTTTAATTTTTTTTATCAAAGTTCTTTTTGTTTGATTTTTCTATATCTTAAATCTCAAGTTACAAATCTTACAAGCTGTACTAATTGGATCCTTTTTTAAAAAAGAACTCTATTTTGGGTGGCACCTGTGGCTCAATGGGGTAGGGCACCAGCCCCATATGCCAGAGGTGGCGGGTTCAAACCCAGCCCCGGCCAAAAACTGCAAAAAAAAAAAAAAAAAACTATATTTTTCATCTGTATATATCTGTTTACATTTAACATAGCTAATTAAACATGTAGCTTTAAATCAATCATTGTATTGTTTCCTATTTAAATCACCTATCCTCTTCTGTTCCTTTTTCATTCATTTCTTGACTTCTTTTTAGTTAAGTGTCTTATTAACTCATTTTCCCAAGTACAAAGTCTGACAATTAAGTTTGCAAATATGTCGCCACGCACTTACATTGGTAGCACTATACAAAAAACTCAGTAAGGTTTTATAACCTCAGTTTATCAGTGTCTCAGTTGTGTTCCTGTCAATGTGTTGCAGTTTGGCCAGGGCTGGGCTTGAACCTGCCACCCTCAGTATATGGGGCTGGCGCCCTTCCCACCGAGCCACAAGTGCCGCCCTCCATTTGAATTTTAAGATTGCTCTGATGAATTTTAAGGTGCTCTGATGAACGATGTTCATTACTGTTGTTGTGTGATTTTGTGTGCTGTTGTGATCAGAGCTTGGATTAGAGCAACAAACATTCATAAATTTCTTGCTAAATCTGGCAAGAGTGTAAATGAAATCAGGGACATATTAGTCTAAGCTTATGGGTATAATGCTATGAAGAAAATGACAGTGTACAAATGGATTAAATGTTTTTCTGAGGGCAGAGAAAGCGTCACTGATGAAGAGAGGTCAGGGCAGCCAGTAATGAGCAAAACTAATGACAATATTGCCAAAATTTGTCAAATTATGTTTCAAAATTGTCACCTGCCTCTAAGAAGCATAACAGAATAAGTAAACAATGATAAACAAACAGGAAAATCTTCACTGAAAATCTTGGCCAACAACTCATGGATCTTGCATCACAATTAATGCACCAGCTCACAAAGCACTGCACACTAGCAATGTCTA